ATTGTTGAAAAGAATTATTTACCTTTCACGTACCTATCATGTTTAACTGTTTAAGTGAAATATTTTCCTATTAGATATTTTGTCAGATCAACAGATTTCTAATTGAACCGTTTGAGAAATTATTTGTTGACACATATGCTATTGTCAATAGTTATGACACGATAAAGTTACAAAACGTTGCAAAATATTTCGCTCAACTGCTATATACTGATACAATTTCTTGGATGGTTTTGTCGACAATACTTCTGGATAAAATTCAAACAACCGTGTCTACTGGAAATTTTGTCAAGCATTTGTTCCATGAGTTAGTAAAACATATGGGAGAAGAAAATTTGAGCTATTACGTTAAGGATCCGTAAGTAAAATTGTTTTACGTAATACATTCTTTATGTTCTTAGGCTATACTGTGAGTGGTAAATAAAGTACAGTAAAAAGGGTGGTTTTAATTTTAAAAAAAGAAATAATTTCTGTCAACACAGATAATTCCATAAATGGCATAGAAAAATCAAGGATTTGAATACGCTATTTATTAGAGAAAAAAAAAATTAGAATAGGATACTTGGTGAATAACACAGTTTATGTTAAACGAAATGTAAAAGTAAAAATTGGTTGTTACAGATCACTGAAAGATGCATTTGAAGGAATTTTTTTCGGAAATAATCAAAAACCTTCCAATTTTTCTGTCGATTTGTTTTCATCTATTGGTTTAGATGGCTTAATGTAAGTCTATTAACTTTGAAGTTTTTAAATAATTTTAACTATCTAATAATTTATCATTCAATTTATAGTTATACATTCCAAAACTCATTAACTTTGTAACTAATAATTTTCCGTGGCTGAAATCGTTGACATTGGGTAATTCTAATAATTACATATTGGTTGCAACAAACAACTACAGCGATTCGACTTTATCTGATCACTTCTTAAAAATGTAATTGGAGATTTTTATCCAATATTTTATTTTTACGAAACAACTCATTTTTATAGTACAAAATATATTAACTTAATTTTAAAATTATAAGAGTATTTTCTAAGCTAGCTATTAAACTATAATTTAAAAAATGAAGCTATAATTATTTGGTTTTTAATAACAATTTATGCTACTCAACTTAATAATTGTTACAAGGAAAATAANGGAATTATCACCATTTTTTACCAAATTTTTTTTCTATTTTTTGTATTCACCCAAATGTATTTATTTTTTAGGACTTCGGTATAAAAGCTTTTATTAGTAATAAGTACATTTTTGTTCAACTTATACGATACTAAATTATGTTAAACAATCCATCGATCTTATAATGTTTGTATGGAAGCGATGGGTTTGTACAAATGAATTAAGACTTAACACATATCAGCATAATTCTTATTAAGCATGATATTGTCAATTTTTATTATTATTAAACCTAGTCTTTAGATTTAATTAGTTGTTGTAAATATCAAATAAACTATTCATTATTTATGAATAAACATTTTTTTAAATTATAATAAAATTATTCGTCAAAAAATATAAATTGAATTTTTTTTTTTTTTGTGAAATTTAACAACAATTATTGTTGAATAAGAATTTCATAGATTACACTTTTATTTAATAATAATACAATCAAAATAGACAAAAAAAATATAAAACAATTATTATAAATAAATACGTTTTTTCAACATTTAACATTTTTATGAAAACTGAAATTAAAAACTCATTAGGTACAATTTTCTACTACTCAGATTATTGTATTTTGGATCATCAAATTATATAAACATGTAGCACAATCATACACTAATAAGTTTTCATAACAATATGGTACCACTTAGTTTTTGGTGGTTAGGTGGCCGCCAATGGTCAATGGGTATAATAATTTCAAATTAACTTTTATTCCACGTTTTTTGTTTATTATTTACTATTATACGCAGTTAAAATTATTACAGAAATGCCTTTTATTTCGTGATAGTGTGTAGTATTAGACTTGCCTCTGAAAAATTTCGAAAATCGCAACTCCACTATTGTTAATATATGATTGATGTATATATTTTGTTTATATTTGATATGAATTTGTTAAGTGACGTCTACTACACCTATAACCTTTTTTTGGGCACGGTCTTTTCGTGGTCACAGAATTAGGTAGGTTCTTGCTCTTTTTAATATTTAAAAAAATCAACTCATGACATGGTTAGTTTCAATAAGCTATGACTTATTTCAGGTACCTACCACTGAATGAAACTTTTGTACAGTAATTCTATATTTTCATTTACAAACGACACGTTTTATTATTATTATCGTGTAGTATTCAATGCCCAGGCATTTTCAATGGTGGGAAGGGATGTTATAATTAATAATTATACATTTTACAATACATTTTTGATGACAATTAATAAAAAATATTAAGTAGTGATGATTCTAAAACAACTTTTTTAACTAATAAGTTATTTTCTGTTGTCCAGTAAAAAAAGATAATGGGACGATATAAACCCAAATTCCTCCTTCCTGAGCACTCCACTGTGACCTACACTATAAACCGGAGTCACTGTATCCCGTGATGCAACCCTGATTGTTTAGTCAGACAAGCAATAAGCAGAATATTTCAGGTCGAATTTCTCATGTATTTGTTTAATTACATTTAGGTTTATTTACAATATTAATAAACAATATGATATAAAAATGACTTCGTTTACTCAAAATTCGTAAATAATTGAATCACATTTGAAAAATAATATGAAAATATGAGTATGTATTACGTAGTTTGTTTCTGAACCAGTAACGTAGTAGATAACGTTTGTTGTAATACTAAATCGATCGTCACACACATACAAATAACATGCAAATTGTCATCTTAAATGAATATTCATAAGTAATATGTTTATAGTGCATTTTGAATAGTTTAGTCTAGATGAGGTGTGTAGATTGACGATTCCTGTTAAGTACATACATAATAAGTAGGTAATTTGACTCGAAATTTCATGGTAATCCAATAACGATAACAGTATTTTATAAGATTAACTACCATGATGAAATAGATGCTTTTTTTTGTGAATTATACGATTATCCCAAAGGTATTTGACAAATCGTATTCATAAAGCTAGGCGTCCACTAGGTCAGAGAGGTCGGTGCGGCGCGGCGCAACGCGGAGCGGAACCATAATAAAATGCCTGTAAACTAATATAGATCCGTCCACAAGAAGGACGGCGCGGAACGACGCGGCACCGCTCTCGGGAGCTCCTGCGACTTTTCGAGGTCGGTGTCGAGTGGCGCCACGCTGGCTTTTTGATCTAATGGACACCCAGTTTAATACGTAAGGTATAGACAGGTATAATTTAGGGGCAAGTAATGTGTCACGTAAGCAAACAGCTCGTCCCTGTTGATCGGTGTAGCAAAAATAAAAAGGGCAAGTATAATTTATGAACTATTATTCGAGGTTAGGATAATTTACTTTAATTGAGTTCGCATCGATGTCGTTTTCGTCAATGTACTTACAAAGACGATTGTCAATTACACCCAAACGCTTTACAAGTTAATATTGGATTATGCCTCATATCACAGGGGTTACCAAATAGCAGCCGTGGAAAACTCTATATGCTCCACTACAGCCTAGGATTTAATTTTCTTAACTATTTTTTTCACTCTTAATGTTTTCTCTCATTTTAATTCAATTTTTTTATGTTTCCTTTACTTACTCTTGGAAAAAACATGTAGATTATATTTTGATGTACCCTGAAAATTTCTTAATTGGCTAATTGGCTCCAAATGTTAAATAGTGGTCTCTGCCTAAACGCGTCTACTTTAACTTGGCGTATTATACTTATATCAATAATTGTAATCAGGAATAAGTTTTATCTGAATAAAAAACTATAATTGAAAAATGATAGTACCTAGGTAATTTACGYACCAGCGCGCATTTCTTTAAACCTAGTTGCATTCATATATCTATTCGACAGTTTAAAGGTTCATTACTACATAATAGGTAATTAGTATATCTTTTTATTGATAMTCAAAAAAAAATGTATATATATATTATATATATTAATAAGTAGTTACCTACTATTGATCGTAAAAATACGTACGTAAAAATTCTTGTTTCTTAATACATACGCCATATTTGGTTTATCCAGTAGTTTAACGGTCTAAAAAACAATAGAGGAAAGATATTTAATTCAATAAATTCAAAACTATAACCTAATAGTTTATCTTTACAAAAGTCTTAAAATTCATTTTATGCTTTAGAAATAAATCGCATAATTAACTCGTTAAGTAATGAAAAGTACATAAAAGTTCATAAAAAAAGAGCTATAACTATTTTGAAAATAATAATGTTATGATAATCTGATAACCATAATTCTTGAATTTTATAATAGTAAGTATCCTATATAAATATAATATTATACAAAAAAAAAAAAACATGAATAAAATTTGTACTTATACGCATAAATTGAGTAAAAAATATTTTAATCTTATAAATGTATTGCATTCTTTTATTATTTTAGAATATTTTAAGATTTCTACAACTGTTGACATTTTAAGGGGAGAGTTACAATAAGGGAGATACCTTTTCCCCACTCAACATTTATGCCACTGATATCACACTACGTAATATAGATGTAAAAATCGAACATTAATAATTTTTTTTTTTGATCATAATTCTTAATCATACTTAATACGTCAAAAAATATGTATACTGATTGAAATTTTTACTATCAGATATAATTTCAACAAATACTGGGCTGAAAATTTTTTTATCCTCAAATTGTCTATGTACTTTTCTAAAAATTATATTTTTTGATTGTATTTAAGTTACACATAATATTATATGAATATAAAAAATAATTGTTTTTTTATAGATGTTATACTTTTGCAGAATGCAGTTCACATCATAAAGTTTAAGTATAAAACATACCGACTTTTGATTTACAAGCGATATCAATAATTTGTATTATATTTTATAATATGATAAACCTATCCCATTTGCGTCCTACCAGCGGCCATCAAATTTCCCATTGAATTCAATATAGGTTGGGTATGTAATATTATACATGTATAATATACTTACCCGTATGATTTTCCCTTTTTGAAGATGTAATAGTAATATGCTGCAGCCATTAGCATGCCATTCACCTGTGAGCCTGTGATTCCCATTTAATTTTAAGTTATATTAATTAATTTGATATAAAATATATATTGTATACTAAAAAAAAAATATATATATTGAAAATACTTACAAAACTATATGAGGCCATTAAATATTTAATTGTTTGTCTTACTTACTAACTTACTATATATGCTAATGAGAGACTTATATATCAAACTACCTGGTATTTGAATACAATTTGCTTCAAGTTTACAATGAAATTTGATTTTAAAGTTTTMAATTATTTTAACTTAACTGTAATTTTCTCAATATATATTACTTAATAGATTCTTTTCCTCTCAAATTACAAAGCATTTAAGAGGACGCTACACCCGCATGTGTTGTCTCCGTCTTACAAGTGCGTAACATTGCAAAAACTGTTTCGCGCGGGAAAGAACCGAGAAAGCTAYAGTTATAACTAAGAAACGAAAATTTCACCACATAAAAAGGAGAATTTTGTCTGTGCAATATCGTTTTTATTTTTTCGATATCAGAACTACAAAAAAAGTTATTCATACTTAAAAAACACAAAATTAATGTATTATAAAACAATGATAATTTTTTTTGTATAAGTGATATCGAAAAAATAAAAACGATATTGCACAGACAAAATTCTCCTTTTTATGTGGTGAAAATTTCGTTTCTTAATTATAACTGTATCTTTCTCGGTTCTTTCCCGCGCGAACAGTCTTTGCAATGTTCCGMGCTTGTAAGACGGAGACACAATACATGCGAGTGTAGCGTCCTCTTAAGTACGGAAATGAAAATATATGTACTTGACGATCTTACATGATAACCAAATCAACGTTAGAGCGATATGTTTTTAACTTATAAATTCCAAAACGGAAACCAATTAAACCGCAATCAAGAATAATAATTCGTCAATTTAAATTGGAAGATAACCAAATATTTTACATTTTAACATGGAAAATAATTTAAAACATTTTTATCACCAGTAGTTATCACTCCCGTGGTTATACCTTTTATAATTTTGGTGAGTGTTTTTTTTYCATGTGTATACGCACTACGATAAATAACAGAAAAAAACATCGGTCTTTAGTTTTGAAGATGGCTTCTGATAGCAAATTGAATCTAGATAGTACTTTTATAAGAGGTCAAAATTGAAAGTTTTTTCAAAATCATCAGGRAAAAAAATTACCGTCTATTATGATAAATAATATATCGATAGTTAAAGTACTGCAATAATTAATAATATTATATTTATATACTAATTGACTGTCTCCGTTTAATATTTTTGTTTGTATACAGTGATTTATTATTAAATTTATTCATATTAAACATATTATAAAATATATGATTTTGTATAATATATAATATGTTAAAAGTATAAAATATTCAGCACTTCCATGATAGTGATCTTCTTAATGATGAGTTGCACTAGAACTTCTATACTATATTAGATGAGCTACTTTTATTTTTTAATTCTAATATTTTTGCGTATACTTAATCACATGTTGTATTTCTCTCAAATTTCTTGTAAAAATGAAAAAAATATTAATATTTTGTGATACCGTATTGAGTTTTTATTTGATACAAATTGACATTTGTCGTGTAGGTGTAGGCAACGGAGTTTTTTCTTTTGCAAAATATAACATAATACATTTTTCCGAAAACACGATTTTAATATTCATTTTTAAAAACAGAATTAGTTTGATTTTATTATTTATATTTAAAAAAAAAACCATTGACACTAATATTTGCTGTATAAGTGCACATTTTACAGTACATAGTGTTTTATTATATAATAGGTACATTATATATTATATATGTATATATACATAAATTATTTATGTTTTATAAGTTCATAGAATCAATATAGTTTTTTGGAATAATTAAATATAGATTAATAGTAGGTATATGTTTTATGGCATTTTTCATTTATGCATCTATATAAGTGTCTTAACATAATAATCAATTGTTGCTGGAGAACTATACCACAACGATTTTGATACGGATAACACACCAACTGAATATGTTGAGCCTGGTTGTAACCCCGTTAGCTGAAAATAAAACGTAKTTATATATATTTGTCTTTTGTAATGCATTCGCGATTCAATATAATAATAACAAAAACAAACGCACACTATAAACTATAATTTAAGAACACGACTTTGTACCTACATAATATTATGCCTATCGTGTTAACTTCTTTTATTAGCCTCGCCTAAGTAGGAATGGAAACAGAATTGGAGTTAATAAACAAAACAAAAAAACCATATACTTACTTAATTTTTGAGAGTGACACACGATCTGAGTTTAATATTCTTTTATTTAGAAAAAAAACTGTTTGGTTATAATATTTATTCATTGTTGGCACTTGTTTTTTTGGCCAACTGCATAATATTAGTTATGCTAGGATACAGAACAAAGCAATAATATTATATTGTGAGTATAAAATAACTAAACGTTCACTAGTTTAGTACGTACTGATCAAAGTAGGTCACATTATTTATTTAACTATTTATTTTAATTATTTAATTGTTTATGATTATCCTCCATAACTACTCTAACGATAGACAACGTTCAGAACAGACACTATATTATAGGTCTAAACAACATTTTCATAGTTTTCAGAATTCAGAGTATACCTATAGTGACTTGATAGATCTATCAAGTCACTATACCTAAACCATATAGATTATTTAACATTGTCTCACAATATGGTACCTAATAATTATTTTATAACGCTTATAATCCTTTGTCCTATTGTCAGTATGGACGGTCATCAGTTTGACCATTATATTAACGGGCCTAATAATTTTATTTTCGTTCGATTTTTTTATCTATGAAAACCGGAAATGTCACCTACACGTAAGGACATTTTCATTTTCATTCGACAGTTCAATAATTATTTTGGTAGTTTTTAATAAGAAACATTTACCAATGTACTATATTGTTTTGTCGAAGGTAATTGTACAATCGTTGCTTTTAGCTATGAATCTATACATTTTCTTTCAAACATTTTATGTTGCTCATATAATTGAACCATATCAAGTAAATGTTACCTACTCCTAATTTTACTGAGTAATTCGAAGAAATTAATTTTTCTATAAATATTTTGATTTACATTCARCCGAATTTTACAATTTTATTTCTCTATTAATTTCAATTTGTTTTGTATTAGGTATTTGATTAGAAAACTCGATGAAGCATTAAATACGAGTTCAAAATTATAAGTATAGTAGGTAACTATTTACTGTTTATATATTATATACGCATCGAAGTTTAAAAAAATATATTTTTTCTTTAATTAAATAATAAAATATGATTAAAATAATAAAAGTACAAATAGGTACTTCCAAGTGTCAGGCTGTACTACCTACCTACCTTCTATTACCAGACTTTATCAGATATTAATAAATGTATAAATACTATATAATATACATTAAATATTTTATACTTGAAAGATGTCAATAAAATTAATCAAAGAGACAGACAATAATGACTATTGAAAATATTGTATATTGCAACAACTGTGCAAACAAGTTCTTTGGGTTAGCCCATTGAGAAAATAACGAATAAATACAATGTATACATACATACGTACATATATAAATGTACACCAAATAATTATTWTATCAGTATACCATATTTAAATTATTTTAAATATCTATATTTTTTTTTACCATGCAACTATGCATTCTCGGCAATTTGCGTTCATTATACAGTAACACGTTTTAGTTCATTTGTACAAAATTATTACAACTATACATTTCTGGAGGGGAAACGTGTTAATAGATGTATAAAAATCAAAAAAATATTTTCAAAATAATAAACAAATGAATTACCGGGTAGTAAGTATTAAGGATAAATTATTATAGAGAATACGTAAGGAACCCAACCACGAGTTGTATAGCTGTAAGTGATTGTATAATTTAAAAAGAGACTTTGAAAATCGGATTAGAGATATAATTTGTGTGCATTTTGAAAGCGATAAAACGTGTTTCAGAAAAACATTCTTAGATAAGTTAGGCTCCAGATTCTATCTCATTTACTTACCTAGCCGTAGATTCTATCTAGAATGTTTATAAAATTTGACTTTTGATAAAAATATTATAGAACACATCTATTTTARTTTAATCACAATAATAATTAAAATTATTTTTTTTATATACAATTTATACCATATTTAAAAAATTTGACTTTTAATAAAGATTATTAGATATTTAAAAATGCGATGAACGGACTAACCCATTTTTCAGGATTTAACTTAACGGCTGTATACGATTGCGCGCGGTCCTTATCAACGGTACCTTTTTAGGTGTACGATTGCGCGTGCTAAATTATTTTTGCTTCTAAGCAACGTTGCCAAATATACAGATTATAGGTGCATGGTAAATATCCGAATTTTCTAGGTAGACTAAGTGTGAATATAAAGTATCTGTTATTTTTTGTAACTATTTGTTCTATTTTTGACTGATTAATTGACACGTGATGCCACGTTTATAATGTTATTAGAAATAAATACAATAACAACATATACGACAAATAACAAATTGTTTTATAATTTTTTTAATAATAATAATTATTTTAAATTTTAATAATAAATTGGCAACGTCGCATCCAATTTCACGCGCATGCAATCGTACGCTTTTGAATAGTCAAAAGTATGTTCTTTTTTTATTCCGGCACCGCGCGCAATCGTATGCCCAAAAAGGTAAAACGCGYGCAATCGTACTCCACYGAACTTAACTACTAACTTTTTTTTGGTGTCAGCGCTGATGCGGTCTAAACATTTGCGGATGGCACCTTTTTCGTGCCGTTTGCAGTCAATGTGTTTCTATTAACCTAAATATCAAATTGAAGGTTCTATATGGTATGTTCTATATATATTATATCATAAATAAACTCTATATAGGTAGTATATAATGATTATAATGTATAAACAATGAGTTGCCATATGGCTTAGGTACCTACTGGAGGGTTTGAAGTGTATTAAAATTGGATGTATTGATTTGTTTCTATATTTGGTTTTTTATGTGTTTATGGACATTAATTACATTTACGCAGTATTAAGTATAGAACACACCCTATGATGTCAACTATTTTAGTAAAAGTATTCAATTACTTTTTAAGCACCTGATCAAATACGCATTTTGAATACTTTCTCTAAGTACCTATTTTTACTTTAAAATTAAATACTTTTACAAKTTATTTTTAGTTTATAAAGGTATTTACTATTTTAATGTTGATCACATGAAAAAAACTTAATAATTTATTTTTGTACTTTGAACTAAACTCAAATGATTATCAAATATTTGATCTTAGAACACAGTTGAGTATCTTATATGGGATATTAATAAAGATTACCCAAATTATGTAGTGTACAATATATGCAAAGAAAATAAGTTAATAGTATAATATATCTTAATATACATCATTATTACATGTATTTAGTATTTCTATAAAATAAAATATATAGGTATAGTGCTAAAAATGTAATAATCAGGTAGATAAAATTAAGTTGACCGCAACTGGCACGAAAAAGGGTCTGACCACAAATGTCCTGCATATGACCCAAAACACTTTTTTTCCTGGAATCAACTTATCTATTATTTTTTCCCGGCAACCAATAACTAAGAAAAAGTCATTTGAGATCAAATCCCTCAATCTCGTTTAAAAAGTGAATTTATTACCGTATAATTATAAGACGGTACTTCTTCGTTGAATGGGATTTCTGTCGGATTAATGTTAACACAACACTGGCTCATATCCAATTTTGATATTTCTTCTACATTAATTACAAACATTTTCAATACACCATTGAATATCCATGGAATATCCCACTGAAGAGAAATATATGTTTTTCCAACATCAATAATTTTTGTATTTCTTGGAGGATCGGGAACTACAGAAAAAAAATGATGAATGATTGCGTGGTATATGTGATTCAGGTAATATACTTTGCGTGGTAACATAAATCTAACTTACACCCATCAATATTGGTAACAGTTATTGACGAAGATAAACCACCCCCTGGATAATCAAGTGACTTGGCCTGAACCTATAAAGCAAAACAAGTAGTAAAATATAAATATAATACTTGATGAGCAATACTGCATTTATTTACGAGCATCTATTGTAATTATTATATTTTTTTATCTAATATTCTTACTTTAAACTTAGAATTTTTACTAAAACTCAAATCATAAAATGTATGACAGAAATATTCTGGCCAAGCTGAACACTTGTTTGGTGGAACAATAGTAACATTTTTTTCGTGTGTGATAAAAGGGCCATCGTCGAATGAAATTATAAATCCTTCTAAATTTGAATCATCAGGATAGTACCAACGAAGTCCAACCATTTTATCTTTCACATTTGTTTTGTACACCATTAAATCATTCACTAAGCCTAGAACTATTAACGTAAAAATTTAGTATTCACATTAGTGAAATTATAATTTATAAATAATTCACTTATGCTAGTTTAAAAACTGTTGTTTTTGGTTTACTTTCAGTTGTTTCTTTAACTAAATGTATACGTAATTTTAAATTATATTCTCGTATATTATGTAAACATACAAACATTTTTGAAAAAAATTGAATATATTATTTTAGATTTTGAATATAATGATGAATTTAATAGTTTTACAATAACATATGCATTGCTACTTTAGGGACAGTGCTTATCAAAATAACCGTGAAAAATAAATATTCTTTTTAATAGGTATAAGKAAAAACAAATTATATTATTTTATTTTTTAACTTGTTTTTTACTAAATTTATTTATTTGTTATTATTTCATAGGTATGTAATGATTTATCATTGAATTCAAATTCAATACACTCATTAGAGTGAACAAATATTTCAAAAACTGTTATAAATGCTTTYTACAGATACTTTGTTACAATTTTAATAAATATATTATAAWTTTTTTCTKTTTTTGTTAGACTTGAAATTGCAATGCAGTAGTTAATATTACAGTAATACTCTCTAATCACGAATCACAGAAAAATAATATACCTAWAAGTTATTAATAATAACTTATTATATAATCAATATTTACCACCTAAACGTCAATATGTCAAATTAAGCTAGTCTGCCATGATGTAGTTATATAATCTAGGCATGATGAGTAATGACATGTGAGCTAAGGCATTTTAATACGTCATAAAAACATTACATTTTTTGTATTGACTATCTATCATGTAAGATGACTAGTTGTATATATAAAATACCTACATATAGTCAAAGACTATATAATTCGAAATGTGTTATTTATTAAAAATCTAATTCAGTTCCTTATCTTTTGCTTATAATTAAAATTTATTGAATTTGCATTTAAAGTCACATTTTAAATTATTTTCTGACAAATTCATTTGAAACAAACCTTTCCTTGTACTAATTGATTTTGGATTAGTCACTTCT